TAAAGACACTTTTCAGGCAGAATATGTTCTTGGCATTTACCTATGACTTTTTTTTTATTATGCTAGTAATTGCCTGAGGAAATTAACTGAGGTGGATCTGTAAAATATTCTTATAACTGGATGAAAATAGTAAAATTAACATTTCACTATTTTAATAAAGCACAACAGTACAATGTTATCTTCAGGCATTTAACTAGATGACTTCTATGGATTTCTTGAGTCATATCTGTATACTAGCCTGCAAATTGATACCGATTGCTGGTGGCTCATCTTCCTCGTTTTCAGGAAGATTCAACTTGCTTCAGTACAGCTACGTCGGAACTCAACCAAATTCTGTGCTCTTGAGCATTAGAATATTCAAACATAGCCAAACTAATGTTGAGTCAAAATAGTATTTAAAGGCAAATGAGCTATGTGGGTTAACACTGTCTGTAAAGCATATAGCCTCTGTTGGCCCATTAAATGGGGACCCTGTGAGTTGTTGGCCTGCAGTTGTTACATTTTACCTACACATACAGTAATATGAATCAAAGTTTTAAGTGATATCTTAAGCTCTCAGAAATCTGTGTTCACCATTTTTCATTCTGAATCTATATTTGATATTAGACTACACCAAATCACTGTTCATCTGAATTTTGGGCAATGACTGATTTGTTCGATTCCACAATTCCTAAACGTCAAAGCGGTGAATCACAAAATAAATTAAATGGACCATGGATGAGCCTTGTTTTAGTTTTTTGAATTACGTCCATTCCTCCAGAAAAACATTTTTTTTTCAGATTATCCAAAGTCTATTTGATATAATCATTTATTATATATACTGTATGATAGATATTCCTTTCTGTGAGTTATTGAATTCTACATTATTCTGTTTTTTTCTTCTAGTCTTCTGTATGAGCATAACACATTCAGCTGCAAAACTTAACACCAGGATTCATTGTATTACTAGAATAAAAAAATAACTGTCTCCTGAAGGGGAACTGGCAATACTCAAGATTTTTAATATTATGTTTACTTACCGCCTACATTTAATATATATGTTTTTTTGTGAGGGGTAAAAACTAAAATAACATGGAGTAATTAACATCTTTACTTACAAACTGGGAGCTTCCATCTTGGCTCCCTGCCAATCACTGTTATGTGCTCTGTTCTTTATTCTCTCTGCTGGAGCTGACAATCAGCACTGCGGACGTACACAGAGAATCTGAGAAATTAAACAATTGTCTGGAATGATACCATGTGCTAAATCTTTCATATAAAGATATCAGAAGACATCAGAACATTTATATGCAAATAAAAAAGGTTAACACAATTTATTGATGCTTTTTAATGCTTTATTTAATGGTATCATTTTTAGAGAAGGATATTTACCTTTTTGAACAATGGAATAATCATTCATATTTTCAGTTATAGGAAAATGTCACTTCTGAGATGAGACAGATCAAATTTAGATAACACATGACTCGTGTGATAGATACAGAGTACCAGGAAAACTTTGTACAGTTATTTTTCAACGTTAGACAATTCCATTCTGATAAATATGCCCATTATTTCAACTGATCAACATCTTGTCATGCTGGCAGTCCTAATTTGCCATTGTTCCTGAATGGGTTAAATCAATAATTAAAGAGGCATCACTAAAGCTTAATATAGAGATTATCACAACAGCTTAAGTGAAAATGGTGCAAAGCCGCAGACAGAGTTGTTTGGCCAAAACCAGGCCTATCCTGGAACCGAAATCTGGCTCCACAATGTTGATGTTTTACATGTGCATTATTTGCTTAGAGCTTTTTAACCTTCGGGTACTTGCAGTGTCCCTTTAACCCTTTGGGGACCTATGTTGGAATACACCAGACAAAATATTTTACATCTTGCAGTCAAATGTTGGATTTTCCTTGAAGAGTACACCCGACACGGAGGATCAGCAGTACAATCCAGGGAAGATCCGACATTGGACCGCAAGAGGTAAACTATTTTGTTGGAAATATTCTGACATAGGATCACAAGGAGTTAAGGGATGACACGCATCAAGGACTAAATGAAAAGATAATTGTCAACCCAGTGTGTTTCCTTTCTGAGTGCACTCAGAAGCAAATCGGGCACCCAACAATAAGCAGCTGATACCATCACAATGTGAATTCACTGCCGGGCAAAGCAAAGTGATCTTTGGTCGGTTGAGCAGTTCTCGTAATATCACTTAAACGGCAGCTCTTAGGAAGGAACACGGTGGGAGCTGACAGTTTTCCATTAACATTAGAAAGCATGATGAAAGAAGTTTAAAACCACTTTATGCATGTTACCTCTTCAATGGATAGGTAGATCCAAAAAATAGACACATTTTTTATTCTTTTTACAAGACTAGTTAACGTAACATTGTTTTTAATGTCTCAGTAACCAAACTCACTCGATTTATACTATTTATTGAACTTATCTACTTACACAAAACCTTAACTTCAAACAAAATAGAGTCAACCCAGCAACCAGTAATGAAATGAAATGTCTGCAATTTATAGAATGTATAACAATTCAGCATCTCTCTTAATCATTATAATATTTGATATAAAATCATTTCTTTTTTTTTCGGGAGTAAATAAAAAAATCTATCAACAAAAGTAAAATGTACTTTATGAGAAACTACTTTAGCAAAAAGAACAATTTTGTTGGCTCAGACTTAATCAATGCCAGTTTCCTAATGGCAGTATTTATTTGACAGATTTCTGCAATTATTATCATTAATTATTATAGCCCTGATATAGAAAAGAACAAAATGTGTCCCTAAAATTGAAACGTCGAAGTCAAAGTATATTTGAAAGTTTAAACACATGCCTATACAATTTTCTTTCCAGTGATTTGCCATATTGATTGAAATATAATTACACTATTTTAGTTCCTCAGTCAGTTGTTTGGAAGATTAATGACATGGTATGGTTAACGCTAAGCTCTGCAGTTGATGCTCAAGTTTGGAAACTGTAGAACGAATTCTGTCAAGAGCTCTCGTTTGACAATGTGCAGCCTACAGATTTACTCTCAACAAACCATGTAATGTATTTCTGGAACAGGACAACTAATGCACCGTATTTCTATGAGCTGGTATGATCTCATTGTTAATATGGCGGAGGGAAGCAAATGTGACACATTAATGACAATCTATTCCCTTTGCAACAATGCAGAAAGCTGGATGCATGTTCTACCTTGGCAAAGTAAAAAACAACTGAAGTGCACTTTTGCTGCAACATCAGCTGATACTGCTCATTATATGACTGAGGAGAAAAAGCGTAAAGATCTCCTGGATTTTTATTGACTCCTATTTATCAGATTTTTATGATTGTAAATAAGTAAAACGTAACTGGTATAAAATAAATTCAGTTTGGTTAAAGATTTATTAATATAATTATTGATATAAAAGTATAAATTTGAGTCTCTGGAAGCTGTTTAAGCAGTAAGTATAGCAGTTAGCATGTTTATCTCCCAGTTAAAACTAGTGTAGGACCCACCGATATTGGGGTACTGTGAAGTAGTGGTGGGCTTAACAATATGGCCACATGGTGGAACTGAATCTCCCCAAATTGGTTTGCTAAGATGGGTGACTTTAAGTAGCCTTGTACAAGTGAAAACAGCGCACACACAAAAACTGTAGTTTTATGTATGCCCTGTTCCGTAATCTATATTTTGTATAAATGAGAAATGCATGTTCTGGGTGTGCCCCCCTAATTTACTTTTTTTCTGTATATTATTTTGTAATGAATTCTTTTTATTAAATGCATCTCCTCAGCGTAGCTCCCTGTCCAAACCATTGCTCTTGGGGAAACCATCTTTAGCACATGTTTGGTCACATGGTATGCATATGTAATAATGCCATACACAGTTTGAATGTCTGAACCTGTCTCAGGGTGCCATTTAGGATGCCTGGCATTTGATTAAGGCATCAGGATTTGAATTTGGGAACCTGAACTAGCTCTAAGTTACTTCCATAGACTTCGGGTGGATAGACAGTATAAAAGAGTTTTTAAAGATGGCCACCTCCATGGACCTAAGGTAAGCCAAGAAACACAATTAGAGAGTTATTGACGTATGTGTATGCATGCAGAACAGTCCAGAGAGGCTATAATACATATAACCTTTTATTCTGAATAATAATAAATAATAATGCCAGTTTTCCTTTAAATTTAAGTTTACATCAGAGTGACTTCTGGATTTAAAATTTGCAAAATTTATGTTTTTTAAATATTTAAAAAAAAGATATTGTATTCTTCCCGAGTGCACTAATCTTGTTCAAGTTGCTTGTTAGCATAGTATTTTGAAGCAATTGCACCAATGAAGTGACCAGTAGTCTAGGTCCTATTTTTATAGCTATCGTTTGCATCAATCAATTACAAGAATGTTGAGTCAATGAATAGCTGCAAGGCATCTACTTTATTTTTTCCCTCTGAATGTCCTGGGTAGGATTGCTTCAGTTACAATAGGTGTATTGGAAATATGAACATGTTTTAACACAATCTGGCATCATCTTGCCCTAAGGAGAAATTACAACGTATTCTGCAGAAACTGGTAATTATATATTTTAGAAAGGGATAAAAGTGAAAAGTGTACCTAATAACACATATGCAGTTATTTAAACCATCAAGCTTCAACACAGTTACAATACAGAAAATGTTCATTTTTGAGAATGGTACAAGGTTTGTTAAGTTAATTTCTTCACTACCACGGTTCTTTTGAAAAAGAAATCATGTTTGAAACATAGAATGCCTAACTAGGTGGCAAACAGTAATTTTGTGTATAGAATTCCGTTCAAGGATGTATAACAATTAAAAGTCTGTAATTGTACGGATTTTGTTTTGTTTCTATTCACACTTTGTATCAAACACACAAATGATTTATGTGCAATAAGGGTATAAAGAATTAGATATTATATTCTGTTGCAATTATTCTGTCAGGGTTGAAAAATTAAGGCATATAGATTCTAGAATAGATCATACAGTAAATGTGGATATATACTGCAGGTCAAATACACTGTTTATAGTCATTTGTAAGAAGTGTGTTGGCTTTTCTAAAAATGCAACCATTCTGAGTAGTGAGGACCTGATGTGCATACGCAGTGGGCTCTAAGCACACATCCAGTACTTCTCTTAGGAAAGCAATGAATCCAAGGCTTTCCTATAAGGTTTTTACTTGGTCAGTGCAACAGAAGTGTAGTCTAGGTCCTATTTTTATAGCTATTTAGCTGCTTGAGGCATTTAAACCCTGCAAGGAAAATATTTCCATTCTGCGGGATGGCAGGGTTTTCTCTTGAAAGGTTTAAACAGCGAGGACGTGGCACTCAAACCTCTCCATTGAGATGAAGTGTTTTGGGTGACCTTAGTGGTCCTTAAGTTTATTATTTTTGTTATCCTATGATCAATTCAGCCAATAAAAGGAACTAAAGTTGACTTAACTGTAGCACTGGAAAAATATTTGTAGTTTTTGGTTCTGCAGTAACCACACTCCAAGTCTTTTTTTCTGACATTAGAGTAGATGGGGTTGTAAATAAGGGTTTATTAAATGCAAAGCAATTAAACATATTATAACATCAATGTGTTCATGGGGTTGTGATGTAGAGGGAATTAAATGGTTTAATACCCATGTCAAAATCAGGTAACACAAAACCAAAAGGAGAGGTTTTTGAATTCTCCTCCTCCTTTGTCTGGTGATCTGTTGTGTATTTTTGTGTGAACTTGCATTAGTTGTATCCTGCATATATCATATCCCACTACTCTAACTACTATTTGCACTTTTATATCTCCAGGACTCATTAGACATGCAGCCAGTATCTAAAATCAATTCTCCATCAGCATATGGCATTTTATTATGTGAGATCAGTCTTTAATAAGGAGGAGCTCACAACTGAACATTTCTCACCAGAGACATTTCCTATAACCTAAACTGATCAACAAAAGCTTTATCATACTTCAAAATGAATGTGATGTAGAGATAACATTAGACAGAAGTATTGAATTTAATGTAAAGATGAAGTGAAACTAAAATATTGAATTGATCTCCTCAATGAAGTTATGTATGTCTCAATGTTAGCAATTATCCCAGTCACCTATTTACCTGTGTACAACTCAGGTAGCATGGGATCGGTCTTCAGATACCTGAAGATGCAGTTACTTGACAGTAGGTAACCTGGAAAGGATGTCTTAAATGTGAACTGTCAACTCATTCAACTGAATAAAACATAAAAAATGGCCTATTACTTGCATTACTCTTTTCTTTATTAGAGTCTCGGATTTCTTTTAAATAAACACTTAAATAATATCATAATCCAATTCAAACAAGGCAAACGTTGCAAGTGAGCAGAGGAGCAATAAACATAATTTAATTTCTAATCTTCTCCTTTTTATAACAGTGAATGGCAGAAAGGTAAGTTGCAGCCCCCCATTTGCAGGATAAAGAGGTGTAAATCTAAATGTAGCATATATACTTGTGTATAAAGTCGATCTCATGTATAAGTCGAGTGCAGTTTTGTGACCAACAAAAATGCTATGCCTCGTGGATAAGTCGAGGGTAAAACTTGGGGCCATGAAGTTCTGTGATTTTTATAATTATATACACACACACACTCATACAAACACACACACTGCATTATATACACACACTCATACAAACACACACACTGCATTATATACACACACTCATACAAACACTCTGCATTACACACACACACTCATACTCACACTCTGCATTATACACACACACTCATACACACACTCTGCATTATACACACACACACTCATACAAACAATCTGCATTATATACACACACACTCATACAAAAACACACTCTGCATTATACACACACATTCATACAAACACACACTCTGCATTATACACACACACTCATGCAAACACACACTCTGCATTATATACGCACACACTCATACAAACACACACTCTGCATTATATAATGCAGAGTGTGTGTGTTTGTGTGAATGCAGAGTGTGTGTGTATATAATGCAGAGTGTGTGTTTGTATGAGTATGTGTGTATAATGCAGAGTGTGTGTTTGTATGAGTGTGTATATAATGCAGTGTGTGTGTATACAATGCAGAGTGTGTGTTTGTATGAGTGTGTGTTTGTGTGAACTTGGTGGGGGAGGGCATTTTTATTATTTTTAATTGTAATATTTTAATTTTTTTATTTTTGTATTTTTATTTTATTATTTACTTTTTTAATTTTAATATTTACATTATTTTTTTATTGTAATATTTTTTTTTTATTATTTAATTTTTATTTTCGTCCCCCCTCCCTGCTTGTTAGCTGGCCAGAGAGGGGGGCTCTCATTCCCTGGTGGTCCAGTGGATGGGCTGTGTAGGAGGGGGGCTGGCAGAGAGCTATTACTTACCTTTCCAGCAGCTCCTGTCAGCTCCCTTCTCCTCCGGTCCGGTCAGCTCCACTGGAAGTCTCGCGAGAGCCGCGGGGTCAGAGCGTTGCCACGCTCCGCGCGGCAGTCACACCGTGAGAATTACAGTGGAGGAGAAGGGAGCTGACTGGAGCGCAAGAGAAGGGAGCTGACCGGAGCACAGGAGAAGGGAGCTGACTGGAGCACAGGAGAAGGGAGCTGACAGGAGCTGCAGGAAAGGTAAGTAACAGCTCTCTGCCAGCCCCCAACAGGACTGCCGGGCTTGTAATGAGCCCGGCGGTCCTGGTCTGTATTATGGCAATGTAAGTTTCCATAATACAGACACTGACTCAAGTATAAGTCGAGTGGGGGTTTTTCAGCACAAATAATGTGCTGAAAAACTAGACTTATACTTGAGTATATATGGTAATTTTGTTTTTCACACCGTATAAGTACATATTTGTTTAATATAGGGGTAAGTAAACATAATATGAACATTTCTCCTAGATGTCTTTTCCACTTTAAAAAGTTTACTAAAAATACTTCAGCATGGTCACTGTCACTATGAACAATAAATTAACGAAATATCATTTTCATTATGATTATTATTATAAAGCAATTGCATTAATGAAGTGTAAATCATTTTACGGACACATACAATGTGCACAGAGAATAATACAAAACTTTTACAAAGTCATCATTACCCGAAGATTAAAAAAATTATATTATATCTTTTAACATGTGTTTAATGTCAATGTACCTTTGGGGTGTAATTAACATTAATTTTATCCGATGTAAAATATCAAAGTGCTCCTTACATTTGATGTCAATAAATGAAACAAGATTACAGGACTGTGTAGATTAGAGATTGCATGATTACACTAATGAATAGAAAAATTGTTGCATAGTGTGTAATTACAATTTGGCTTAGAGGCTGCAAGGCATATTAATTGTATTGTTTGGGATTAAAAATGGTTCTTATCATTCTCTGGGTCAGATGACAAAATAGGAAAATTGATATATTAGACCAAGTATAATAAAGAAGTAAAAAGAGAGATGAAAAACTTGGTTTCTAAGTACTATCATGGCTTGGGAATACAATGTAGTTGGTCATTTCAAATACAGTGTAGCTGGACATTTCGAATACAGTGTAATTGTTAATTTAGAATACAGTGTAGTTGGACATTTAGAATACAGTGTAGTTGGCCATTTGGAACAGACACATTCCTCAATTTTAGATGAGAAATTATCTAAAATATCTCAATATCTCAATATCTGTTACAAAATCACTAATAAAGGAAAAGTGACAGTTGGTGACAGTTTGAATGATTCCTGTCATTCGAGAGCCAAAAGAGCCTATTATACAGATAGAGCATTCACTGAAGTTTCTGCTGATACTGAATATACACAGACAGCAATAGAAGGGGACGTTCGCCATGCGAACGAGACTTGTTCGGGAGTTTTGCATACAACTTAATTTATAGATGGTACCTAACCCCTTCCAAACTTTTTAAATTTAACCTTAGTAAAACCAATAAATGTTGGAGAAACTGCGGTCACACTGGTACATTGTTCCACATCTTCTATTTGTGTCCCGAAATCAAATCTTATTGGCTGAATATACTTAAAATAATCAAATTTCAGAATTCGATGTAGTTTTATCCCTGTGTCTTTGTCTCTTTAAGCAAATTACATCTAACATGCCTAATTATAAAAAAAAACTTTTTCTAGGCCAACTTTTGATCTCAGCAAATTCCATCATCTCCCGACACTGGAAATCAACAACTATCCCAACTGTGGGTGAAGTTTTATCTGCAGTATTTGAATGTAAAAGGTGTGACTAACTAACTTTCCATGAACCATTTACATTCACATGTATATTGCAGCATGAATGGTCCTTGTGGGAAGATGATGTGAAAAAAGAATACAGACATTTACCATGTTCCCATCTGACTGAATACTTGTTCTATCCTACTGATTTTTTTGTTTAGTACCAGGATATAACTAATTTATTTTTACTTCTGTACATATTTTAATTGTCTCATATATATATAGGAAATTATAATTTGTATGTTTATTTTATTTTTTATCTGTTTTATTCGACAACGATTCATAAGTTAATGTATATGTATACATATATATATATGTCATTATTATGTTAACTATATTCTATATTACACAAAACATTAATACATAAAAAATTTAAAGAATACAGTATAATTGGTCATTTAGAATACAGTGTGGTTGGTCATTTAGAATACAGTGTAATTGGTCATTTAAAATACAGTGTAGTTTGTCATTTAGAATACAGTGTAATTGGCAATTTAGAATACAGTGTAGTTGGTAATTTAGAATACAGTATAGCTGGTCATTTATAATACAGTATAGGTGGTCATTTAGAATACAGTGTAATTGGTCATTTAGAATACAGTGTAGGTGGTCATTTAGAATACAGTGTAGTTGGTCATTCAGAATACAGTATAATTGGTAATTTAAAATACAGTGTAATTGGTCATTTAGAATACAGTGTAATTGGTAATTTAGAATACAGTGTAATTGGTCATTCATAATACAGTGTAATTGGTCATTCAGAATACAGTATAATTGGTAATTTAAAATACAGTGTAATTGGTCATTTAGAATACAGTGTAATTGGTAATTTAGAATACAGTATAATTGGTCATTTAGAATACAGTGTAATTGGCAATTTAGAATACAGTGTAGTTGGTCATTTAGAATACAGTGTAATTGGTCATTTAGAATACAGTGTAGCTGGTCATTTAGAATACAGTGTAATTGGCAATTTAGATTATAGTGTAGCTGGTCATTTAGAATACAGTATAATTGGTAATTTAGAATACAGTATAATTGGTTATTTAGAATACAGTGTGGTTGGTCATTTAGAATACAGTGTAATTGGCAATTTAGAATACAGTGTAGTTGGTCATTTAGAATACAGTGTAATTGGTCATTTAGAATACAGTGTAGCTGGTCATTTAGAATACAGTGTAATTGGCAATTTAGATTATAGTGTAGCTGGTCATTTAGAATACAGTATAATTGGTAATTTAGAATACAGTATAGCTGGTCATTTAGAATACAGTGTAGTTGGTCATTTAGAATACAGTATAATTGGTAATTTAGAATACAGTGTAGATGGTCATTTAGAATACAGTGTAGTTGGTCATTTAGAATACAGTATAATTGGTCATTTAGAATACAGTGTAATTGGCAATTTAGATTATAGTGTAGCTGGTCATTTAGAATACAGTGTAATTGGTCATTTAGAATACAGTATAGGTGGTCATTTAGAATACAGTGTAATTGGCAATTTAGAATACAGTGTAGCTGGTCATTTAGAATACAGTATAATTGGTAATTTAGAATATAGTGTAATTGGCAATTTAGATTATAGTGTAGCTGGTCATTTAGAATACAGTATAATTGGTAATTTAGAATACAGTATAGCTGGTCATTTAGAATACAGTGTAGTTGGTCATTTAGAATACAGTATAATTGGTAATTTAGAATACAGTATAGCTGGTCATTTAGAATACAGTATAGGTGGTCATTTAGAATACAGTGTAATTGGTAATTTAGAATACAGTTTAGCTGGTCATTTAGAATACAGTATAATTGGTAATTTAGAATATAGTGTAGCTGGTCATTTAGAATATAGTGTAGCTGGTCATTTAGAATACAGTGTAGATGGTCATTTAGAATACAGTGTAGTTGGTCATTTCAAATGGAGTGTAAGTGGTTATTAGGATTATAGTTATGTTACTTTGGATCCAGCACAGATTCATAATACAACTATAAGAGGTTAACATTGAGTTTGCCAATTTTAATTTAAGGAAAATAAACCACATGCCATGTAGAAATTAAATCTAACCTCAGAACTAGGAAACCTGGGTTCGAATCCCAGTCGGACCACCTTACCAGTAAGTGCCTTGGGCAAGATTCTGAATGATATGCATCTGCCTACCTTAAAATCCTCATAGATTGTAAACTTGTATGAGCAGGGCTCTAGCATACTTCTAAAATCCCATTTCTATAATTGCACAACACTGTGGAATATGTCAGTGTTATATAAAAATGATAACAATACAGCTCTAAGCACCATAACCACTCCAAGCACCATAATCACTACAGCACATTGTATATAGTTTAGTAGTTTTTTCTCACCTCTCCCCCTCCACTACAGCCGTTAGACAGCTGGGAGTTTATACTTAGGACCTTACATTAGCTCGCCTGAGCTAAGCCCTGAATGGCAGGTCTAACTCTTTGGCCATGTACTGGTGAATATCCTTCATTAAATAATGTCTTTATATAGCTCTTCACTGCTAAGCATGGCAGTGGGCCCACACCCTTGTGCCTCATTAGTTGCAAGACAATAAAAAGAAACAAATATCAGATGGGGAAAGATATCACAAAGGTGCCACTTGGAGGATATTCACCCTTGAAAAAGGCTCATTAGACAAAACATCGAATGTTGGTTTCACTTTTAAGATATATACATATATTGATATTAAGCACTTTTGTATTGTTATAGGCTATTGTGGCTACTGGCAGGTTGCTGCACCAAACTTGCAACCTTAGTCTTTTAATCTGCTATTCTGGTTGTGTGCTCATAAGCCTTTTTTAATTGATATGACAGGAGACCTGGGGTAGGATAACAAGGAAATGGTGTCAAAATTAGACTCAGGACTTTTCAGGACCCCACTCAGTGCCCCAGTGCCTCTGAGAACCCTGTCAGAACCCCCACTACCAATGCCCCAGCACAAGCTCTTTTATGCTGGACACAACCCTACACATGTGAGTGGATAACCTTCTATTAACATATGTGCTGTGCTTCCACACATGCTTCCAATCCCTGGTTAAAGTGGAGTTTAGGAGGTAGACCATTTATACAGGAAAACTGGAACAAAAATGACACTCATATATCCATTAATTTATTTTTAGAATGTTCTGCCATGGATTGATAAAATACAATATGGCTATTCATTTAAAGTGTCAATGGCCTGTCTGAGGTTTTTATATGGATAAACTCTTTAGCAGTCTTTAACAAAGACTTCATTAGATTTTCACTGACATTCCATTGAGATCAGAATATGTAGATAAGACAAATTATGGATTACCTTGTCCTGTGTATGAGTCACATTTTGGCAAAATGTAAAGAAGGGCAATGCTTTTGGTGCTACATCCTGTCATTCCCCATCAATCTTCTCATCATCGATCTTCTCATCTGGTGTAAAATAATTGTGCGGTCATTCTATTGCGCCTGTTTCAAAATATAGAGTAATTGAAGAAAAAGGAACATACAGGTAATGAGAACGGTGAGCAAAAGGTAAATATATCTTTGTTACTGCTACCCCCGACTGCTCCAACTCAGGAAGACATGTCACATCGGGCAAATAAAATGCAAAGACATCACAAGAAAACAAGCTTAATTAATTAATCTAATCAGTTTACTAGCAGTGAAACTAGATAACAGAGTTAAATAAAACAAATAAAAGTAATATATGTCCTTCCCTGTATAGATGCTAATTACAATGTCACAAACCAAACAGCTAAGCTTTTTACTGACAAATAAAACAAAGTAGCAATTCTGCAATATCTGATAGAGCTGGTTTCTCAGATTACAGAACAGATTCAGCCTCCAGGCTTAGAGTTGTTGGAGAGGCTGAAACTTTGTCACATTTAACCCTGCGAATGCCTGGGGAAATAAGGTTCTAATTTCTGCCTGCTGTGACTTTAGCTGTGTTTACCTTCTAGATCACATTTACAAAGCTACTTTATTTCGCAAGTGGATATTGTTTGTTTTTGCTAGCCATAGAGTTGATTTTGCATGTCGTGACAAAATACAGTGGGCAGATAAGAAAATTGCATTTATTATTTTATAACAACAAACCCGAGCTAAATGACAAGCCGACACCCAAAATCTGAATACTGAAAAAGAAAAAAAATACAAGAAAAGTCAGTGTGAAGCAACTGAAAACTTTTATTAAAGGTAATCTCCAGCAGTGGCATACTAAGGGGGGGGGGGGGGGGGGGGGCGGTCCGCCACGTGTGCCACCAGGGTGGGGGGTGCCATGACCAGCCCCGCTGGCCCCCCCATGCTGCAGCCGCCCGAGCGCTCCTTAGAGAGCCTCAGGCGGCTGCAGCTTTGCCCGGGTGGTGCGTCCATGAGGGCGGACCGCACCGCCCGGGCACAGCCTGAGGAGAGGGGCTGACAGGAGGGAAGCGCTCAACGCTCAGCGCTCAGCGCTCCCTCCTGTCACTCCCTCAGTGTAGCGTGGCCGAGCCCTGCAGCATGATGGTCCGACGGGTACAGGGAGCATCTGTCTCCTGTACCCGGCCGGACTAACAGGAAGTGCACACTCAGGTGCACTTCCTGTTAGTCCGGCCGGGTACAGGAAACAAAAGCTCCCTGTACCCGCGGACTATACAGGGCTTGGCCACGCTACAGCAAAGGTAGGGGGGAGGGGAGAAA